GGTAGCTATTATTTTCTCTAGTTAATAGACAAGGAAACCAAGGCTCAAGGTCATGTATACAGCAAGGATTAATAGAAAACATAAAAAGTAAACGCAAAAGGTGTGTTTGGGGCAAATAATCTATTATTATTGGAGTATCAGGTACACCTGGTCAGGTGGCAGAAAGGAAGGGACAGGGCATATGGTAGGGGGTGGTCACGATGATCAAAAAGTACAGGAACCCAAACGGTGAAGGGATTAAGAAGTACAAATTGGCCGTCATGGAAATGTAAAGTACAGCATAGGGAATATAGTGAATTATGTTGTAATAACTATGTATAGTGTCAGATAGGTACTAGATTTATCAGTGTGATCACTTAGTAAGTTATATAGTATCCAGTCACTGGGTTATACACCTGAAACTAATATAATATTGTGTGTCAACTGTAACTGAAATATATAATTTTTTTTTAAGTACAGAAACCTTATGATAAGGGATTTGAATGTCTCAAGTGAATTTAGACCTCACTCTTTGGATAGTGAAATCCTTTGAGATTTCAGAACAAAAGATTCTGCTCAGAGATGTACTTTAGGCTGAGATGTGTGGAGGAGAGCCTGATGAGGCAGAAACAAGAGGAAGAGAGATCTGTGCCAGGTCAGAGTTGAGGGGAGCTTGGGTCAGGGCAGTGGGCAATGCAGAGAGATGAATCTTAAAATACTCTATACAGAGAAACTGTTAAGATTGACTTGGGGAATGCAGAGGTGGAGCTACCCTTAGTCGGAAGGACTGTCCCCTCACATGCTGAGCCATCCAACCTGCCTCATCGATGCCAGGTCTGATGGGGAAGACTTCTGGTCTCCTGCGCACTGGAAGTCTCACTCTCGCCCTACTATAGCTGTGCCAAACCTCTAACACCAAAGCAAGGCAAAGTCTGTTCAGACTGCAAAGAAGAAATCTTGAAAATTGTTCTCAATGCCCGCATCAAGTGAGGAATCTCAAGATCAAAAAGCAGCCTGTCACACAAAGACACCATACCAGTTTGATGCTGTGACCTGCCTCCCCCAAAGGTCAAGGAGAGTTTTATGTCATTTCCCAGCAGTCCATCAAACGTGGTTGGGTCCAAACCCTGTATGGGAATTTAGCCTGTGCAGGGGCTTGGATTCCTGCTTCTGACTGCCACAGGACTGGCAGGCTTCCCTCTGATTCCCACTCTCAGAAGCGGGCCACAACTGCTGGTCACTTGTCACACCCTATCTGGGAGGTGGCAGTATTTCAATGGTAAAGCAACAGATCCCTAGGCTGTGGCTAACGGTTTCAAAATTTGTTAGGAATTGTGTCATATTTCCCAAAAGAGCTAACTCCAATGAAGTCAGTAATGGGTAAAGGCTTGGGTTACGAGGTGGGAGGGCTTTATACTTCCTATCCTAGATTAGGACAATTCCAGAGAAAATATTTATAGCAGGCTCTCAACAAGCATTCCCCCCCCCATTGCTTTTTAGAGAGAGTGGAAGGAAGGAAGGAAGGAAGGAAGGAAGGAAGGAAGGAAGGAAGGAAGGAAGGAAGGGAGGAGGGAGGAGGGAGGAGGGAGACAGGGAGGAACAGGGAAATGGGAGAAGAGGGAGAGGGAGAGAGTCGGGAGAGGGAGAGGGAGAGGGAGAGGGAGAGGGAGAGGGAGACATTGATGTGAGAGAGACACATCAATTGGTTGCCTTCCACATGTGCCCCAACCAGGGCCAGAAATCCCAGGAACGTGCCCTTGACTGGGAATAGAACCCTCGGTACACCAGCTGATGTTCCAACCACTGAGCAACACCGGCCAAGGCTCAACAAGCATATTTTAATGTACCAGGCACTGTATAAAATTCTTACAAATTTCCTAAACTAGAGGCCTGTCTTTTTTTTTTTTAAAATATATCTTTATCGATTTCAGAGAGAGGAAGGGAGAGGGAGAGAGAGAGACAGAAACATCAATGATGAGAGTCATTGGTTGGCTGCAGCCCGCAACCCGGGCATGTGCCCTGACCGGGAATCGAACCCCGATCACCTGGATCCCAGGTCGACGCTCAACCACTGAGCCACGCCCGGCTGGGAGAGGCCTGTCTTAATGTTAAATACATACCCCTCACCTTTTCTCTGCAGAGTGCTGCTAACTGTGGTCCTTACTTTACCTTTTCCCTCCAATAAATGAGAACCTATAGCCAAGAAAAACTTTGTTCCCAATGCCAAAGATATGGAGATCAGCTGCCCAAGACTGTGGTCTGCCTGCAGAATTCCTGCCTCCACCTGGTCTTCAGCCTCACTTGCAGGTGCCCGACTCTTAGATTCATCTGGTCGAAGACTAACTGTTCTCTAGCCCTCTTCCGAGGTCCAGACCTCTATATTCGACTGCTTTCTGGACATCTTTACTCAGATGTTCTCAAAGGACATCCAGCTAGACTTGTCCAAACTTGAACTTACAATACCCTCTGCCTCCACTCCCTTCTCTTCCAACGTCCCCTCACCTCAGTGAATGACGCATCCCCTGGGAAGATGTACAAGCCGGAAATCTAGGAATCACCCCCCACCCTTCCCTTCCTCTTTACTCCCAGACAATCCCTCACTCAGTCTCAGGCATTCTACTTCTAAAAATATTGTTAAACACCCATTTACTTCTTCGCCTCTCAATCTCCACCTAATACAAGCTGCCATAATCTCTCACCGAGACTTTGGTAGCAGACTTCTGACTGGTCTTCCTGCATTCTCCCACTTCTATCCTTCCTCCATGCTGCAGCTTGAATGTTCTTTTAAAATCCCAAATCTGATTATTTCACTACGACTAACACCCCAGTTGCTCTTTAAATAGAGAGGCGGGTATGAAACAGGTCTCCTAGGGAGTCCAGGAGAGCTCACCAGGGACATCTTGCTTTTAGTTAACCTACTGTGTTCTTGCTGTAACAATTTTTTTTGTCATGGCTAACAACCTTACGCTTGTTTCTGAGGAAGAAGGCTGAATTACCTTGATTTCTGGTAACCATAAACTGCAACCAACATCGTTCAGGAAGGGATCATAAGCCTTTTAAACAAAAACTTTTCTAATACCCATGAAAGGAGACACACATTACTTCCTAAAGATCCTGGAAGGTAGATCTTTAACCAGATGAGACCTTGAAGAATTAGCCTACAGCAGGAGTTGACCAACTCTGGCCTGCGGGCCAACTCTGGCCTGCCCCTGCTTTTATAAGTATATATTTGTTGGAACACAGCCACACTCATTTGTTTATGAATTGTCTGTGCTGTTTGTACTCGAACAGCAGAGTTGAGTAGCTGCAACAGAGACTGTGTGGTTTGCAAAGCCTAAAATACTTGGCCATTAACAGAAAACGTTTGTTGACCATGCTCTAGAGGTTTTCCATATGGGCTGCACATTAAAATCACCTCAAGTGCTTTTAAAAGGGATTCCCTCAGAGATTCTGATTAAAATTATCATGTGGATCCAAGCATTGGAAGTAAAAACTTAAAAACTTTCCCTAGGTGACTCTAATATGCAGCCACAGCTGAGAATGGCTGATCTAATCCGGTCTCCTCCAATGTCAAGGTGTCTCCTTTTGGTAATGAGTAGCAACTGTTAAATCTACAAAACCCTGTACAGCATATCCACCCACATTATTGTATTTGATCCTTAGAGCAAATCTGAGGTTCCAAGAGCAAGCAGGATTGCTGTCCCTGCTTCACACATGAAAGAATTGAGGCTCGGGGAACTTAAGTCATATCCCCAAAGTCCCCTGTTCAGTAAAGGGGAGCCAAGACTCACGTACAGGTCTTCTGAATCAAGTCCACCGCATGGGACCATGTCTACCTCCCCAGAACATTGAAAAATCTGCCTTCCTATAGCAGACTATGTTCTGTGGAGCCCTAGGATTCTTCAGGGTTATTTTGAGGGTAGAGTGAGGAGGAGAGGACGTGCGCATGTGGGTGTGTGCAGACCCAATCTCCATGCCCTCACTTCCACCACAGCAGGTATATTTTTACGTGTTCCAGTATTAAGATTCCACATACAATTTTGTTTGAGTAAAGAATTTCGCCTTTGAAGACCACTGATCTGGCTCAGACCCTGGTCCACTGCTTCCATACAAGATGGCATGGTAACTCTGTCCCCAAATTCCTGTTACTTCTTACATCATCATCAAGTTCTTCCCTGTTGTTCTAAATGAAGTTCAAAATAATAGTTTCTCACAATACCGATCTTGGTATTTTTTCTGAGAAATGAAAGACATCACTCTTAGCAGACCAGACCTTAACTGAAGTTTCTTACTACTGCTTCTTGCCTACCTCATGCATGCCGTATGATCCACGTGGGGAAAGCATCGTCCTCTCCACTCTTGCTGGGCCACAGCACTGCTCCTGCCTGCTCATTATGTCTGCCTCCAGCCCAGTCCATGGGCTCTCTACCTGCTTCCACTCTTAGGCTTTCCTTTCCTGTAGAAGTGAGGCATTCATGATGGGGGTGTGGTGGGGTGGGGTGAGATATCTTCTTGCATTTCTTCATGCTTCCAGAGAGAAAGGAACCTCTATTCCCCTTTCCAGAGAGGTGAGAAGCCCCACACTGGGCAAGACACATCCAGCTTTTCACTCAATGGCCTTACTTGCACCTTTCCACTGGAGAAGGAGTAACCAATCTGATTGGTCAGAGTCCAGGACATTCAGAGGGCTGAGTTTTTATTAGGACTGTGCATGAAGTATGCTATGGTCCTGAACTGGGTCCTGGTAAGTCAGGGTCTGTTCTCAGACCTGGGAGGAGCACTGCAGTGGGAGGGAGGAAGTAAGAAATCCCCATCGTGCATCTATTTTTTAGTTCCAAGAATGACAGGGACCTCCAGGGTCACACCCATAGCATGACCTCATATTTTAACACTCTTTGAGGAGGCAACATCACTGAATCCTGGGGCCTAACTGTCAGAAGCACCTGACCACTCAGGAAAAGCACAGTCCCTAAAACTTAATGAAAAACATGTAGCCTTAAACATAAGACATCTTCATCTTCTTGCTTTAACAGAGAGTCATGTCTCTTACTTTACTAATTCTCAAAATATATGGTTCCTTTTTACATACATACACAAAACACATTTAAATATAAATACCAAAGTCATGGACAGACAAATTTAGGAAGCCAACAGTATAGAAGAAAAGGCAAGTCACCAGATTTTACAAATGATCATCTGAATTCCTTCTCTGGATATTCAACTTGATATGTTATCCTAAATGTCCCATGTCACATGGTCCACAAGGTCTTCCTTTAGGGTTCTGAAGCAATCAATAGCCATACTTGTCATTAAGATGGGTCCTGCCATCTCCACTTTGACCTACATCAGAGTATAAAGAAAGAATTATATTCAGTTTTCCAAAGTCAGGAGGGAAAAGACATCAGTGGGCCAAAAAGTAAAACAGATAAAGGTTTCTTCTGTGATAGAAATTTGACTTTTTGCATATAATTTGAAAATATGGTCCTCTTTTCATTTATACCCTAACATTAGCAGACAAAAGAGCAAACATTTCTAGTAATTAAATTTCTATTAATAACTAATATGTTAGAAACCCAATCTATAGAAAAAGCAACCTGTGATGAGCATATGGGGAAACAAACATCTGCTATGTTGCCTTAAGGATATATATGAATGTAAACCAGCACAATGTCTATAGAATGTGATTTATAATATCTTTAAAATGTTCATAGCCTTTGATCCAGCATGTTAACTTTTACAAATATTTTTCTACACCTATACCTCTGCAATTGCAAAATTGTGTATGTTAGAAGTTACTCATTGCACAGTTGTTTGTAATGGCAAGAGTGGAAATACAGCAAATATTCATTGAGGAAACTGGTTAAATAAGTAAAGGTATATCCAGACCATAAAAAAGAATTATGCCATCACAAACACGTGCACACACACACACACACACACACACACACACACAGAAATCTATAAATAACTATGGAAGGGTCTCTATATCATGTTAAGTGCAAAACAGCAAGGCATAGAATATGCTTCTAATTCTGCAAATTACATTATTTGACTTACCCGAAAAACATTTGACTTACAAGAAAAACATTTATATGAATAAATATTCAAAGTGACATAATTAGAAAACATTTTACTGTAGGAAACCCCAGGTAACACCCTTTTCTGCCTTATTTGGAAAACATCACAACATTTCCTAATATAAATTTTGCATAGTGTAAAAAGAGAGGGTTGATTACAAGGGTAAACTTATTTCTATGATATCCTACTTGAGAAAAAGGCAACTATTCTTATTTTGACTAATATATACTTCTCTTAAATACCAGAACTAATTAAACTCTTAATTCAGTTAACACACAAATTAACACAATATAATTAACTGAAACTGCAGTGCTATCATCAAGGTAAATACTTGTACTAGGTATGTACTTGTACTTGGGAAATAATAAATTCACAAAATGCATGCTGTGGTTTTCATTTGATGTCTTCTATAATAGAGCCTACTACAGTTATGAATTTAGTTATTTTGAATGATAGATAATGCTCTTAAAAAGCTCTACAAGGGGGAAGAATATGCTTCCATTTGTGTAAAAAAAGTGGTGAAATATTACGCATGTTATTGCTTATGTAGACATTTTATGCATTTTATATTATATATATATATATAAAAAGTCATAAGAAACTGATACTTGGCTGTCATTAGAGGAAGTAGTAAACTGACTAGCTGAGGAATAGCCAGAAGACTTTTTTTTTCACTTTAAAGAAAACTGAAAATACAATAGTAAAGAGAAAAATACAATGAACCTCCTTGTGCCCATCACCCAGCTTTAACAATTATCAATATACAGCAAATCCTGCTTTCTCTATCACCCCTCCCCCGCTAGCCCCCTTCTTCCACCACTGGATTATTTTAAGGCAAATCCCAGATATCATTCCATCTGTGAACACTTCTGTACATATTCCTAGAAGGACTCTTCCTAAAAATGAACTCAACACCATTCACACTTAAAAAAAAATTAACAATAATTCCTAGTCTCATCAGATATCTAGCTAGTGTTCAAATTATCTGGCTTATAATTTTTTTTACAGTAGTTTGTTTGAATAAGGATCCAGAGTCTACAAATTATATTTTGTTGATGTGTATCTTTAGGTCTTTTAATTTACCTGTTCCCCCAGAAGGGAGATTATTCCACTACATACTCTTGTAACTTTCTTATCCTAAACCTGAAATATACAAAGGTTGACAAAAGTAGGTTTACAGTTAAGGGTACACAAAACAGAGTTTATTCTTGTATGATTATTATTGAATTATTTATTTGTATTGCTACTGTAAACCTACTTTTGCCCAGCTCTATATATTACATGTTCATAAATATATATAACTAAGTCTCAGAGGAAAAGAAAAGTAAAAACAACTTACCTTCAGGTGGGACCCACACACAGTAGTCTGGGTCATCGTCTGGATATTTGGAGGAAACTGTTGGTGGAAGCTGCAAGTAAAGATAAGTTATTTTATTCAAAAAAATTTTAACTCTAAGAATTATTGTCCCTATACCTGTCAGCAAACAAACACTAAGAGAGAACAGTTTCCACCCTGGCCAGTGTGGCTCAATGGATTGAGCACTGTCCCATGCACCAAAAGGTTGCTAGTTCAATTCTTCATCAGGGCACATGCCCATGTTTAGGGCCCAATCCCTGGTGGGGGCAGAGGGTGCATGAGGTAGCTGATCAATGCTTCTCTTCCACATCAATGTTTCTCTCTCTCTCCCTCTCCCTTCCTCTCTCCAAAATCAATAAAATTTTTTTTTAAAAGAGAGAACAGTTTCCATTAATGATCTTGATATAAGTAATCAAAAAATGGGGAAACATTCTTTTTTTCTATAAAGCCTCAACAAGCTGATTTCAGTCAGTGAGAGTGAAGTGATATTTTTTAAAAGGGGCAGTTAACACAGGTCTGAGTTCTTTCCCATAGAGGGAAATTTGGCATTTGCCTCTTGCTCTAGGTGCAGGAATAAGTTAGCACAGCAAGCCTGATCGCTATCCTTTGAAAGGCCTGTTTGCAAGTTGGCCCTTAGCTGGCACCGGGGAACTTGGGTTTTGGGAGGGTTCCCACTATCCTGACTGATAAGAGGGCTCACTGTGCCTAAACTGTTAGTAAAAACAATGTGATTTATGCTGAACACCTGCTCTTCTTCTGGGAGAATGGAATTTGGGTATATGCCAGGCAGGGGATATGCCTCTGTGATCTCAGTCCTCAATAAAAATCCTGGGCACTGAGGCTCTAATAAGCTTCCCTGGTTAGCAACATTTCACAAATTGTCACAACTCGTTGTCAGGGGAATTAAACATCCTATGTGACTCCACTGGAAAAGGACCTTTGGGAGCTTGTGCCCCAGACTTCACCCCATGTGCCTTTCCCTTGCTGACTGTGCTTGGTATATACTTTTGCTGCAGTAAATCACAGCTGTGAGTACAACCACCTGCTGAGTCCTGTGAGGCCTCCTTCCTGTGAATTACATAGCCTGAGGGTGGTCTTAAGGATCTCCTGACATAACCCAGCAATCTCATTTCTGGAAACTTACTGCATCCACACAAAATTATGTACACACAAGGTTATTTACAGCACTGTTGTAATAAAAGACTAGAAACAACCCAGTGCCTATCTATAAGGAACTGGTTAACAAGAGTACATCCATACAGTAGGAAGCGCTTGGTGTACTGATAAACAGTGATTTACACGATAGGTTAAAATATCAAGACATAGAATGCAGTATATTACATTCTACCTTCTGTGTAATAAATGGAGGAAAATAAGAATATATTACTCAAATGTCTTGTTATGGCATACTAGAATATGAAGGGGTTTTTTGTTTGTTTTTTTGTTGTTTTTTTTAAAGATCTTCCTCATTTATTTTTTTAATATGTCTTTATTGATTTCAGAGAGAGGAAGGGAGAGGGAGAGAGAGAGAAAAACATCAATGATGAGAGAGTAGTCATTGATCGGCTGCCTCCCACACGCCCCTGACTGGGAATCAAGCCCGCAGCCCAGGCATGTGCCCTGACCGGGAATCAAACCGTGATCTTCTGGATCCTAGGTCGATGCTCAACCACTGAGCCACGCCCGGCCGGACGAATATGAAATTTCACAAATTAATAAAAGAAGTATGTGAGCGGTTATATGGATAGAGAATTCAAAAGGTAAAACTTCAAAAATAAAAATGGAGCCCAGGCTTCCAGAAGCAGGGGGTGGGGGCAGGGAATAAGGTAGTTGAGAACTCTGCTAAGACAATCTCTAAAGATTCACTTGTGGTCCATGACAAGGGGAGTCACTTTTACTTCCAGAGAAGTGAAGATTATGACTAAAGTACTTACTTTGCCTGGACCAGGAGCTTTCTTTTTCTTCAATTCATCCTTTGATGCTAGTTTAAGAAAAAAAAAGAGGCAATAGCTATTTCAGAATAAGTAAAATAGAAAAGAAATTCCTCCTAAGAGAATATTACATTTATTAAAGAAAACATGTAACAATCAAATTCTCAAAAATTCCTTCCACTATTGTAAAGACTACATATTAAGAGAATTTTCCCTTCACTAATAACCCTAGTTTTCAAATCCTAAGGCTATTCTACAAGCTTGAGTATAATCACACCATTTGAATAGGTGAAGGAAAACGGGGCTGACTTTACCATACATTACAGTTAAAAGCAGTAGAAAACCAGAAAAAAAGTTCTTTGAATAGGCCGAACTTTCAACCTATTTAATAGTTTCGAAGTCACTCCCATGATGGGCACATATTCAACTCTTGGAAATGTAAAATTGTGGAGGGCTTTGCATGGCCAGAGGAATAAAAAAGGGCAAATGGGATGGCATTAAACATAAACCTCTCATACATTCCAGTTCTCTCCAGGGCCTGGCAGCAGCATCTCCCCAGCGTCTCAAAGGCCATTCTCTGCTGCTTCATGTCAGCCGCCATCCTCCTCTAGAACACCAGTTGGCTGCTTGTGCAGAGCAGCAATAGAGTCGGCTGTGCTACTTGCCTGAGGGTTCCTCATGTGATGCAGCTGTTTCACTAATCTGTTGATAATCTTTATTCTGTTCTACTTGGCTGAGTTGAGACCAGTTTTCTGTAAAACACAGAACCAAAGCATATTGTTATTACTTAATTCATGGTGGGGAACCAGGAAAACAAAAACAGAAGCAAGGAAAGCTAAAGACATACACAATCATCCAGTTTACTATCATTAGCTTCAACTAAAATGAAGTTTTCAATAAATGTGCCTCCAGCTGTCTAACAGAGAATCACCAACTTTCCAATTAAAAGCTAGCCACCTCTGAAGTAAAACTCTTAGCAATATTTACCAAAGCCTTAAAAATGTACATATTCCTTGAAATGTATATACTCCTAGAAATTCTACTTCCCAGGAACATATTCAAAGAAAATAATTAGAGATGAACACCAAGATTTATTATATACAAATATATTTAAAATAGCCAAAATTTAAAAATAACTTACATGTCTAACAACAGGAAGTTGATTAAACAAGTTACAGCACATGCACACGATGGACCACTATGTCCCTTATTAAATCACATTTTAAAAGAATATTTTAAAACATAAAAAAACAGGTTACAAAAAAGCATGTACAATATGATCCCAATGCTGTAAAACAAACAAACAAAAATGCCTGAAGTAATCCTAATCAGCTGCAGATTTACTAATTAATGTATCTTATAAGCCGAATTTTAAAGTCTGCTATTTTTATACACACATATTTGCTTTGGTTCCCTAAACAAAAAACAAAAAAAAAACAAAAAATACAGTACTAACTGCTCCCCTTCCTGCTGTATGGATCAAATGTATGAATCAAAAACCAGATTCAGAAAAAGTATGTATAAGTACCTTTTTTGAAAAGGCCAAGCATTTTGCCAGTAACTAAACAAAGGAGAATGCAAAAAACAAAAGCTTTACCTCTCCCAGAGAAGGAAATGGTGACTTTTTAACAACTAAAGGTGATTCAAGAGAAGGTCTATGTAGCAGGCCTGGTGTTTTATGCAGACAAGCCTGGTTTGTGTTGGAAGAAGACATGCATACATTCTCATACACATTTAATGTCAGTTGTTTTTTTCCTCTCTTGCTCCCTATTTTCTGTGCAGATTTAATTTGCTAAGTATTTTGGCCAACCTGTAGGAAAATAACCCCTGCAATTGACAAGGGATAAGATACTAAAAAGATAAACAATCATCTTTCGGGGTGGGATCATGGGCGATTTCTCTCTTCTTCTTTGGACTCTATAATTCAGTTTCTAAATGAGCATATATGCCTTTTATAATCAGAAGAAAATACACTTAAAAACCAATCAATTCCCTTTTTCATCAAACCTTTGTTGTAGTGGGTAAATATGATGTGCCAGGTTCTCTGCTAGGCACCATGAACAGAAAAATGAATGTCATGATGCTTCCTGAGCAGTAAGTGCAGCGGGTACAATTATGCTTAGCATCTGCTTTAGGATGGGGTAAAAATGAGTAAGGGGAGGCTTATTCTGAGACCACCTGATCAGGCCTCATCATCTACCATATTCCACTGCCCTCCAATCAAACAATGGCAACAGCTCAGGACTGGCCACAGTAGCTCGGGTTTCAGATTCCATAGCTTTGATTTTCCACAATTTTGGAACAGACTGGAAATACTCGTCCTTATTTTGCAGTGAGGATGAAAAATGACTGGCAGTTAAAGGACGGGTGTTTCCACAGAGTCAGTTGTATCACATGTCACGAAGTATTTCAAAGTCAAAAAATGCACAGGCAAGAACTGGCTTTTCTTTTTCAAAGCTCCACAGTTAATGCAAATGCATTATATAAAGCAATGCCTCACCAGGCTGTCCTGTTTCTTCAGGACACGGGAGGTCTGTGGGAGGACTCGCTTCCTGCACTGCTGCTCCTGGGCCTCTGTCCTGCTCTGGCCCACAGCTTCCGGCCTCCAGGGTGCTCTTTCCCTCCCCCTCCTCTTCCTCCTCCTCCTCCTCCTCCTCCTCTTCAGGCTCGTCCTTCATTTTCATTAGAGCTGGAGGGAGTTCAGGACGCTTGGGGGGTAACTTCTGTAAGGGAAACAAAACCATGAGCAAGTCGTTCTACATAATGAGAAAGAAACAAATCTCTTCCAGGGATTCGAGCTAAATGTGTAGGATGTCTAACCTCTATATGTTGATAAACCCTGCAGGGATTTGCTGGAAGTAGGACTTTCACGTGAAGTTTTATCCATTTATGGACCCTTAAGGAGTATCTTTATTAGTTTCTAGGGTCAACAGAATATTAAGTACAAAACAATGGAAACAGCATGTAAGGAACTAAAACATTTATTCCAAGTGAGTATCAGCTACAGGAATTCTGTTACCTCCTCATGAGGTTACAGGACCTTAATTCACTACAAAATCTTCTAGGAAGTAAATTAGACACACATTTTAAGAAATAAATCAAGTCCAGCCGGGTGTTGCTCAGCGGCTGAGCATTGACCTGGGATCCAGGAGATCGGGATTCAATTTCCGGTCGGGGCACATGCCCGGGTTGCGGACTTGATCCCCAGTAGGGGCTGTGCGGGATCAATGACTCTCATCACTGATGTTTCTCTCTCTCCCTCTCCTTTGCTCTCTCTGAAATTAATATATTTTTTTAAAAAAGTTTTTCTTCTAACTAAAGCATAAGTATCCCCTACCACACACACACACACACACACACACACACACAAAACATAGAAAACCTTCCATCTCAGGTAAACCATATCCTCACTCAGAACATATGGCTGGGACTTCAGGCCTCTGCCACGAGGGGGCAATTTTCCCTAATTCAAGGTGTTGGTGAATTAGGTGCCCCCAGGATTCATGTTGAAGTCCCAATCCCCAGTACCTCAGAATGTAACCGTATTTGGAGATAAGATCTTTAAAGAGGCAACTAAGTAAAAATAAGGCTGTCAGGATGGGGCCCTAATCCAGTATGCACTCCTTTATATGAGGAGTGCAAATGCACAGAGGGATGACCATGTAAAGACACAGCAAGAAGACAGCCATCTATAAGCCAAGAAAAGAGGCCTCAGAGGAAACCAATATTGCTGGCACCTTGATGTTGGACTCCTAGCCTCCAGAATTGTGAGAAAATAAGTGTATGTTGTTTAAGCCACACAGACTGTGGTATTTTGTTATGGCAGCCCTCTTTGGGGTGATGAATGCCTTTTAAAAGCTCAAACTACAAATAGGAATGTCTTAAAGCAAAAACATACATCAGTGAATTATTAGAGAATAGTAGAAAGATCACAAAACTCAATAGAGAGAAGACCTGGATTTGACTGCCAGTCTACCTTACTGATGGTGTAATCTTATATTTAACCTCTCTGACCCAGTTTCCTCACCTGTGCAAGGTAATAATTCCCATACATCACAAGGTTTTGGAAGGATTAAATAAAGGAAAAACCACATACAGAGCCAGGTACACAGACTATAACTAACAAACGTTAGCTGAGTCTGAGCATTACAACATCTATCCACCAGGAGAAAAACATTTAATGCAGGAGACCCTTTCTTAAATGTAACATTCATCACATTGCAACATTCATCAGCTGGTAAGATTAATTACAAATGTAACATTCATCAAATGGTAGCATCCATCACAAATTAATCAACTGATATTCTAATTTACAAATTAACTACATGCAAATTGATTGGCATGAATCAATTCATTCTTTTTGTTTCCTCTTTTTTGTTGTTAATTTTCTTTTTTTTATGCCTTTTTTATTCTTTTTTTTTCCTTTTTCTTTTTTTCTCTG